AGGGCCCCTGTCTTCCCCGGCAGGAGGGAGATGGCCCCGCTGCTGAGCCTGTGGCTGGCGGCCCTGCTCGGCTTGGCCCGGGCGTGCCCGGAGCCCTGTGCCTGTGTGGACAAGTACGCCCACCAGTTCGCCGACTGCGCCTACAAGGATCTCCAGGTGGTGCCCACCGGGCTGCCCTCCAACGTGACCACCCTCAGCCTGTCCGCCAACAAGATCACCTCGCTGCAGCGGCGCTCCTTTGTGGAGGTGACTCAGGTCACCTCCCTCTGGCTGGCACACAACGACATCCGCTCGATCGAGCCCGGCACCTTCGCCATCCTGGTGCAACTGAAAAACCTCGACATCAGCCACAACCAGATCGTGGACTTCCCCTGGCAGGACCTCTACAACCTCAGTGCCCTCCAGCTCCTCAAGATGAACAATAACCACATGGCCCAGGTGCCCCAGGGAGCCTTCCACACCCTCAAGGACCTCCGGTCCCTGCGCATCAACAACAACAAGTTCACTGTTCTTGCGGAAGGTATCTTCGACTCCCTTAGTTCCCTCTCCCACCTGCAGATCTACAATAACCCCTTCGACTGCTCCTGCAAGCTCCAGTGGCTGAAGAAGTGGATGGATAGCACACTCATCTCCATCCCAGAGAAGGACTCCATCACTTGCAGCCTCCCAGAGCAGCTCCGAGGAGTGCCAGTGGGGAAAATCCCAGACGTGCAGTGCATGTCACCTTCTGTGCAGCTCACCTATTTCCCTAACCTGGACACCACAGAGCTCTTTGATGGCTTCACCCTGACACTGCACTGTGCTGTGACAGGCAACCCCCCACCTGAAGTGAGCTGGAAGATCCGTACCTCCAGCCAAGCCCTGGAGATCAAAGGGAGCCCGAGAGAGAGCACTGGGAAGGACCTCCCCAAACAGGACCTGGAGCGCTTCCTGGTCTTCAAGAATGGCACCCTGGTGATTCCTCACCTGAGCAAGCGGGAGGAAGGCACTTACACCTGCCTGGCCACCAATGAAATGGGGAGCAACCAGACCTCGGTTAACGTGGCTGTGGCTGGGACCCCGAAATACCCGCTGCAGCCCGGGAGGGATCCCACAGGGGGCAAGGCACAGCCAGGTGACAGGAAGCCTGGGGCCAAAGGGGCAAAGAACAGTGTGCTCATGCCAGACGAGAGGAACAAACCTCTCAGCCCCACCCGTCAGAGCCACCCATCCTCGGCGGCTGGGACAGAATCTATGGGAGAAGGGCAAGTGCCCTTCCAGCTTCCTCCCTTTGAGAAGAAGTGCGGCTCCACGCAGGCCAGTAGGTATATCTCCAACCATGCCTTCAACCAGAGTGGTGACTTCAAGCAGCACACCTTCGATCTGGGTGTGATTGCCTTAGATGTGTCAGAGCGTGATGCCAGGGTGCAGCTCACACCCACTTACACGCAGCCCGAGAAGGTCCACCTCAGAATGCTCTACCTGTGCCAGGAGAGCAGCCAGGGCCACGCCTTGGTCCAGTGGTCCAAGATCGAGGAAGGGGTGAACTCGTACTGGTTCCAGGGTTTGAACCCCGGTACCAACTACTCTGTGTGTCTCACCTACCTGGGGGAGGACTGCCAGGTCCAAGTGGTCTTCACCACCAAGAAAGAGATCCCCTCACTCATCATCATTGTTGTCGTGAGCATCTTCTTGCTGGTCCTGGCCACCCTACCCCTAATGGGTGCCACATGCTGCCACCTCCTCTCCAAGTACCAAGGGAAGACTTACAAGCTCATCATGAAAGCGCAGAACCCGGACCAGATGGAGAAGCACATGGCTGCCGACTTCGACCCCCGCGCCTCCTACCTGGAGTCTGAGAAGAACTACAATCCTAGCGAGGTGGGGGAAGGGGACATTGAGGAAGAAGACGAGGAGGAGGAGGACGACGAAGGAGGGAGGAGGAGGAGAAGGAGAGAAGCCGAAGGGGCTCCGGAGCTGGAGCGAGACGAGAGCGTGGCAGCCGGCTCCATGGCAGAGTCGCAGTCCAAAGCCACCGCCGAGGAGTTTGAGGTCCGCTCCGAGTACAGCGACAAGCTG